CTCCTCCACCCACTCCTCCTCCCCCTCCTCCTCCTCCTCCCCCTCCCCCTCCTCCTCCTCCTCCTCCTCCTCCTCCTCCTCCTCTCCTCCTCCTCCTCCTCCTCCTCCTCCTCCTCTTCGATCCGTCCTCCTCCTCATCCTCCTCCCTCCCTCCCTCCCTCCCCGTCCCTCCTCCTCCCTCCCTCCCATCCCTCCCTCCCTCCCGTCCCTCCCTCCCTCCCTCCTCGGCCTCCTCCTCCTCCTCCCTTCTCCTCCCCCCTCTTCGTCTCCCGCTCCTGGGAGCGCCCCGGGGCGCTGACGCTTCGCATTGCTTGTCGCCCTCGCCCCGCCCGAAGTGGGGTGCATCCCCACCCTCTGCTCTGCTCCTGGTCGCCCTCCCATACACCTTAGGCGATGCTTAAGAAAACTTAAGTGTTCGGCCAGAGTCTCGATTATTCTTAACGTTTCAATCTAAATCCTAAGTTTGTAATAGAAATGTTGGGTTTTTTATTCGAGTTCTGAGACCATGAATTTATTAACCCATGATTTCTTAACCATTTCGCGTGGTGTAGACTGCTCTGGCCCAGGTGGGGCAGCGCACATCTGAGGAGTTGGAGAGATGTTGCAGGTATTCGTCTGCGCTGGGCTTTGGCTGGGGCGCACTCTGCAGACGAACTTGCGCCCAGTCCCTGCCGCGCACCTGCCGGTGGTCCTTCTCGCTGCTGGTCGGGCCTCGGGCCTGCACCGCGTGCTGGCGGACTCTCCCGCCGCAGCGGCGTCGCGCGAGGCAGCCATGCCGGAGTGGGTGCCGCGGGTGGGCTTCGCTCTGCGGGCCTCCACGGGTGCGCACGAGCTTGGAGCTCAGGCCCGAGCCCGAGCCCGAGCCCGAGCTCGAAGCCCGAGCGCAAGCCCGAAGCTTGCGACCTGCCCAGGTCCAGTACAACCCATGGTCCCGATCCCTCGGCCGTCCCTGGATCTTCGTCCCCGGCCAGGGCCCCGAGCCTGAACCCGAGCTCGCGCTCGAGTTCCGGCCCAACCCCGAAGCTGGAGCCCGAAGCTCAGGCCCGAGCCCGAGCCCGAGCCCGAGCTCGAAGCCCGAGCCCAGGCCCGAAGCTCAGGCCAGAGGCCAGAGCCCTGAGAGCCGAAGCTCCGAGCCCGAAGCCCCGCGCCTGGGCCTGGGCCCGAGCCCGCCGTCCTGGCGCGTGCCCAGGCGCTCGAGGCCCGAGCTCGAGTCCGACGGTCGGCCCGCGGAGCACGAGCCCGAGCCCGAGTCCGGCAAGGTGCGCTCGGTGGGTCTGGCGGCGTGCAGCCTGCGCGCATCCTCCCTCCTACGGGGGTGCCTCCCGCCGCTCGCTCGGCGCGCGCGCCCGCGGGCCCCTCGGGGTGGAGGCGCGCGCCGCGGTTCGAGGTTCCCTCCTCCCCCCTCCCTCCCTCACTCTGTCCCCTCCTCCTCCGCCTCGTCGCTCTCCCCCTTCCTCCCGCTGGCCCTGGCTCCGAGCGCGCCCCCTCCCCCGCCTCCCCTCCCCCTGGAGCAAGGCGGAGAGCGCGCAGATGAAGCACAAGTCCTCCGCCCCCCACAGAGCGCGCCCCTCTGGGACCACGATGGGAGGGGAGGACCATCTCAGCGCCTTGGGATGGAGGAAGGATGAGGGGCCGGGAAGGGGGTGGTCGTGCGGAAGGGGGGATGATGATGATGATGATGATGATGATGATGATGATGATGATGATGATGATGATGATGATGATGATGATGATGATGATGATGCTGATGCTGATGCTGATGCTGATGCTGATGATGATGATGATGATGATGACGATGATGATGATGATGCTGATGATGATGATGATCATGCTGATGCTGATGATGATGCTGATGATGATGCTAATGATGATGATGATGATGATGATGATGATGATGATGATGATGATGATGATGATGATCATGATGATGATGAGGAGGAGGAGGAGGAGGAGGAATAGGCTGAGGATGAGGATGAGGACGCGGAGGAGGAAGGGTGAGGATGAGGGTGAGGGTGAGGATGAGGGTGATGGGGCGGAAGAGGGAATGATGATGATGTTGATGATTATGACGCCGATGATGATGATGATGATGATGATGATGATGGTGATGGTGATGGTGATGGTGATGATGACGATGATAATGATGTTGATGATGATGACGATGACGCTGATGATGCTGATGATGATGATGAGGATGAGGAGGAGGAGGAAGAGGCGGAGGCGGAGGAGGAGGAGGAAGAGGAATACTAATACGAATAACAATACTAATCTTACTAATGATAAGAAGAAGACGCAGGCGAATACTAATACTACGAATACTACTAATAGTAGTTATAAGAAGTACACTACTAAGAATAATACGAAAATGATAAGACGACTACGAACAAGAAGAGTATTGATTATCCAAGTGCGACCCTACCTAGGAGTTGGAGCCCCTAGGAAAGCAGTAACAGTAAAGCTAAGCTGCAGCTAAGCTAAAGCTAAGCTAAAGCTAAGCTAAAGCTAAGCTAAAGCTAAGCTAAAGCTAAGCTAAATCTAAGCTAAAGCTAAGCTAAAGCTACGCTACAGCTAAGCTAAAGCTAAGCTAAAGCTAAGCTAAAGCTAAGCTAAATCTAAGCTAAAGCTAAGCTACAGCTAAGCTAAAGCTAAGCTAAAGCTAAGCTAAAGCTAAGCTAACGCTAACACTAAACTAAAGCTAAGCTAAAGCTAACGCTAAAGCTAAGGCTAAAGCTAAAGATCCCAGGGGACTGGGGGAACCGCTCCCAGGGGTCTGGGGGAACCGCCCGGGGCGCTGTGCACTGCCCGGCCCTTTAAGCCAACCGAGTAAGAACCCTTCTAGGCAGAGCCTAGGTAGGGAATTATGCCAGAGCGACCCTACCTAGGAGTTGGAGCCCCTAGGAAAGCAGCATTAGTAGTAACAGTAAAGCTAAGCTGCAGCTAAGCTGCAGCTAAGCTACAGCTAAGCTAA